CTACACCTGACTGGTCACCTGACAGTTCACCCTATAGCCCTACACCTGGCTGGTCACCTGTCAGATTATCCTATAGCCCCACACCTGGCTGGTCACCTGACAGATTATCCTATAGCCCCACACCTGGCTGGTCACCTGTTAGATTATCCTATAGCCCCACACCTGGCTGGTCACCTGTCAGATTATCCTATAGCCTCACACCTGGCTGGTCACCTGTCAGATTATCCTATAGCCCCACACCTGGCTGGTCACCTGTCAGATTATCCTATAGCCCCCCTCCTGGCTGGTCACCTGTCAGATGATCCTATAGCCCCACACCTGGCTGGTCACCTGTCAGATTATCCTATAGCCCCACTCCTGGCTGGTCACCTGACAGATTATCCTATAGCCCCACACCTGGCTGCTGGGAAGTAGGTGCCTGGAATGGCGTCACGCAGGTGTAGTGAGCCGTGTGTGAGATAATTATATAGGCAATTAAAGTGACACATCCGTTCTCGGTAAGCCGAGTTTTATTGACTGTCCTCTTCATTATAAGATGCGGCTTCATTATCGGATGATTATAGCTTTTGTTTACTACTGCATAAAATGCATTATATGGAAGCAAATGTATTTCCTATTCCCCACGTCGTCCCTTTCCCCACGTCGTCCCTTTCCCCACGTCGTCCCTTTCCCCACGTCGTCCCTTTCCCCACGTCGTCCCTTTCCCCACGTCGTCCCTTTGCCCAGGCCGTCCCTTTGCCCAGGCCGTCCCTTTGCCCAGGCCGTCCCTTTGCCCAGGCCGTCCCTTTGCCCAGGCCGTCCCTTTGCCCAGGCCGTCCCTCTACCGACATTGCCCTATAGGTAATACTAAAATAATGGCAGTCTGGGATTCATATCCCCCCCCCGGGCTAACAGTCGTGTTCCTTTAAAGTAAATTCAATCACTAAAATCTCATTCAGGCTTTAAGACGTGAAAGTGGACCTGTCATCAGATAAATTTTTTGTTTCATGTTAAGTGCGGCATGTTCAGTAATGTGTCAGCGGGACCCTTCCAGGTATTTATTACCTCTCCCAGACATCACAGTACTCACCCTGACAATGCCGTCATCTGCTTTTCTCTCCGGAAGTACGACGCCATCTTTGTTCAGGCATCATCTACTTCCTGCACTAAGATGCTGGCTCAGAGATAACACAGCCATGTAAATCCTGGTGGCTGCGCAGTTCTTGGCTGTGTATACAAGCATTTAACACAGATGAGCCCCTGGTGCACCCTCTCACCTTGTGACTATAAAGATACAGTGTTGCAGTATTTATTCCGTAACTGAGTATCGACTGCCATTTTTTATTTATTTTTTAAAGAAAATCCTGTTTTGTTTGATTTTTTACCTTTTCCTGCAGCGTGTTTTAGCGCGCCGTGTTTTCGACGGGAGCGGAGAATTTTGTTTTTGTGACATAATTTCCTACAGATGTTTAGCTGGTGGTCTAGTTTGCAAGTTCAGCAACTCTAAATGTCAGCGGGAAGCCCTTTGATGGTCGAGCAGGAGAAGGCTTTGCTATAACGATGCTCTATGAAGGAGAAGGTGCTGTGCCACCCATCCTGCCCTGGGCGGCGGGGGGTGCGGGAGAGGGGGTTGGGAGCTCAGAGGACATACGTAAATTGCCAAAACCCTCAAAACGCGTAGGAGGTGTTTTTATTATTTTGTGTCTGTCTTAAAGTGGAGCCCCAGCCATAAGTATTCCTTTATGTACGGGTAGCATGGGGAAGAGTCGGGATCTTGCTTGAAAAAAAAAATGGAGGCCGCACATTCTCCTGTTGGTGATTGAACAGGAGATCTGGATTTTGGGCCGGTAGCTTCCTCACCCCCAAAAGATTTCCTCAGTCACCTTGGTTTGTATCTAAAGGGATCTGAGACTGAAAAAAAATCACACCACGGGTTCACCGTCCAGATACAAATGTATCTGGATAAAAGACTTCATGTCAGAGCCAACGTGTTTTGGGGGACAGAATTGTTTCCCCCTTCCTCAGGGTTATAGGGCCCCGCTCATGGCCACCGGGGGGTGTGTTGGTGTGACATTTAAAGGAGAACTATGGGGTTAAGGCTTTTCCCCATAGTTCTCCTTAGGGTAACGGGAGGACACAAACTAGCGTCCTCCCGTCACCCTAAGCTCAGTATATAGGGAGCTACAGCTCGCGGTATACTGAGACGCCGCAGCTGAAGCGGATCCCGACAATTATGCCAGGATCCGCCCAGCTGTGTGACTGACAGCTAGCTTTGCCTATCTAGAGGCAGATCCAGCTGTACCCGTCCCCTCCCCCGTCCGTTCCGCCAGTCAGCGCTGGAGGATCGGAGCGGGGGGAATCCAGCCCCTCCCCTGTCACGGCAGAGAGCTGTGACAGGATCGAGAGGTGAGCTTAGCTTAGCACACGGTACCGCACGGTCGGTGGGCTGTGGGATAGCATGCGTTAAATCAGCCCTTCTAAGCTGGACTGCTGTGGCAACCTGGGGGGCCTTATGACCCCCTCGGGGTGTCTCAAAATATTCACATGTCTCTGATGTAAAGAAGAGGTTCCTGGTGTGAAAGAGGGAACTTCTGATTTGAAGAGGGGCTTCTAGTGTCATAGGGGGACTGATGTGAAGGAGGCTCCTAATATGAAGGGGGGGGCTCTGGGGTGAAGGAGGCTCCTAACATGAAGGGGGGACTGATGGGAAGGGGGCTCCTAATATGAAGGGGGGACTGATGTGAAGGAGGCTCCTAATATGAAGGGGGGACTGATGTGAAGGAGGCTCCTAATATGAAGGGGGGCTCTGATGTGAAGGAGGCTCCTGATGTGAATGGGGCTCTTAATATGAAGGGGGGCTCTGATGTGAAGGAGGCTCCTAATATGAAGGGGGCTCCTAATATGAAGGGGGGGGCTCTGGGGTGAAGGAGGCTCCTAACATGAAGGGGGGCTCTGGGGTGAAGGAGGCTCCTAACATGAAGGGGGGACTGATGTGAAGGAGGCTCCTAATATGAAGGGGGGACTGATGTGAAGGAGGCTCCTAATATGAAGGGGGGCTCTGATGTGAAGGAGGCTCCTGAT